TGGGCCCAGTCTGGTCCTGTCATGGACCGGACCACTTTGGTATCCTTCCCAGGCACCGGGGATCTCCTGTCTCTGCTGACACAGGGACCAGCGCATCAGTCTGGCCCTAAAGCATCCCCACCACCCCTGCTCTCTGATCCCAGCGTCTTGTACAAGTAACAGCCGAAATCCCAAGGGAAAGACGCGCAGGAGGTGGCTAGGGGTCCCTGGGGACAGCAGGCAGGGCCGAGGGAGCATCGTCCATCTGGAAATGTGATCTTCAGCAGCATCACGTGGCTGCAAAGCCAATGTGATGAGGGCAAGGAGTCCTTTGTGGCCCTCGGAGCGAAGGTGAATTGCCAGATGCAGAAAGAGGAAAGCTCACATTTGGGGTACGTCCGAGCACTGCGTCACCTTCCTCACCCTGATGGAGAAAGGCTGGCATGGCTTGGAAAAGGCGATGGTCCGTTGGATTTGTTTTCAGGGGTGGTGAGCAAGCTGTGAAGGCAAAAGTGCTAGCGCTAACTGGAAAAAAGTAATGGTTGAAATGGTTCTGTGTCTACAATCATAGTAAGGCAGTGTGGAGCTGCATCCCCTGACTATTCAGTACTATGTTCACTTCAATAATGCCCAGGCTTTTGAAACTAGTAGTTAAAACCAGCCCTTACTTCTTCCCCACCCATCATCATCCCTGATTATTAAGAGAAAAAGGGAGTGCAAAAGAGAACCTGACTCTGTAAGCCAGCAGTGGGGATATTTGCTTCAAAGTGGGAGGCCAGGACACAAGTACCTTAAGACAAGGTTGCACAATCACTCAGCAATCACTGGATAAATCAGGCAGTTCCTGGAGGAAGAGACCTTGGGTGGTGAGTTGTCTTTCCTCTTGGGGATTGCTCTAACCTCTGCCTTTCCTGCCAGGCTTGTGCTGCAGTGTCAGCGAGGGAGGAGGAATGGCTGCTTCGAGGTGAAGAAAGCTTTGGATCTGGCTGCTTGCATTTGCTTGCAAGATTCTTGCAAGACACACTAGGTTTGTGTGTCCTCCAGCCAGACCTTAAAACAAGAGCAAGCCATTTGTCCCTACTCAAAGGCTGCATTAGGTGTCTAAACCTTAGAAGGGATTTTGAGCAGCAAATCCTAGAAGTCCAACTGCAGATATCTAAGAAAAGCTGCTTTTCACACACAAGCTTCTCTTAAGCATTGCCTCACATCCACTTTGGAAATTCCCCTGTTCCTAACAGCTCAGTTCCTGTGCCCCTCACTTGCCCTGTTCACCTTTGGTCCCTGAACTGGGGTAACACTGGTTATTTCTTTGGCTCTTGATGTTACCTGGAGGGAAAATTCCCTCCTGAAGATGAATCTTCCCATTACAAGCAAAGTCCTGGAACAGAATCACAGGAAAAGGCAGTGACCAGACTTGACAGTCTAGTGAGGAATAACAAAGATGATTGGAAGAAATTTGCTCAGGATTCATGAGGAAAGAGTAAAGGAATGAGAACTGTTTAGTCTAGAGATGCCTGAGGACAGAGAAAAGACTTTAAATGTCTGGAGAATGGCTGCAGAGAAGAGGAGATAAATTTTCCTGCTGGGCCCTAGAGGCAGAACAAGAAGTAAGGGGCTTAAATTGCTATGAAAGGGATGTAAAGCAGACCAAAAAAACAGGTTTGTTCCCTCTCACTGTAGTAAAGTGGGTTTGTAAGAAAGAAAGCAGGGAAACTCCTTGTTGGAGGTTTTCAAGAGCAACTTAAACAAGCCCCTGTCTGAATAACAGGAGGAGGACTGGACAGGGCAAGAAGTGCCATCCAGTTCATCCCATTTCTCCTGTCTGGAGCAACCCGACCTGTTCTGCTGGTGTCCTTTCCTCGTCGGCCTGGGGAGGTCTGTCTTTGAGCCGTAATGCCAAAGCTCTGTGTGCGATGTACATACAGGCCTGGTTAGAAAGCACATGATCTGCTCTTGACCTGAAGCTGTGTCCTTGTGAGGTGCCTTCTCTGTAAAGACAGTTGAGGCTCTGCATGGTAGATATCAACAGGGTTTCTTCCCTGCATGGTCCAAATGGGGAGGTTGCTTTTCTGCAGGGGCTGTTGAAGAAATTCCCTATGAAATGTGGAGTCTTCTGCGGTGGTGGACAGAAATTTTCCTTGGAGAAGTGATTTGGATGTGCTGAACTCGGTCTGACGGAGTGCATCAAACCGATGTGCAGAAATTGGGCTCGACTGTTTGTACTCCACTGACATGAGTGAGAGCCCCGCTCCGGCTGTTCCATCCCACCGTCTGCTAGGGCTGCTAGACACTGGCAGCCCAGGCAGTTCTGTCCTGGGAGGCAGGGTGACAATTGCATCCTGGTGTTTCTGCATTGCTTCTGGAGGACTCTAGCAGTTGGCTACAGCTAAAGCAGATCTTTGGTTGATATATCCAGACTTCTTATCACCTCTTTGAGGTCTGTCAGCGTGTCAGGATTGTGTGTCGAAGACATGGACAGATACAGCCTGGGGTTGGTTTTTTTTGTTTGTTTGTCTTTTTATTATCATTCAACACATAACCCTGTGTCAACACTTTACTGATAATGAGAGGTTGTATGTACAGCAAGTGACTGAATGTAAGGATCTGTGAACTGGGAGGAAAAAATGTTTAGTGCATGGAAATAGTCTTGGTTTATTCCAAGTTTACACTTGGTTTGTATTCCCCTATAGAGATAAGGTTTACAATCTTGGAGCCTGGCCTCTGTCTCGGGTTCAGTATCTCTTCTCTTCCCCCCAAGTAACTTTTGAACCTCTAAACCTCATTGCACAGCAAGGATTGAAGTCTCGTGGACACTTAAGCTCTGAAAAATGTGAAAATTAGCAGGTGGGTAGAGGAGAGGGGCTCAGGCTGGTGCCTACCCCGTGGAAAATGCAGGGAGAAGGTGGCCTTTCCAGGTGCTGTTTAGTGGCAACTGCATGCCAGCTCTGCATTAACCAGAGCACTGCTGCTGCTTCTGAAGAGTCTGGGGGCGGCGGGGTGACAGAGGAGATTTTGGAGGAGACCAGGTCTTTAGCTCTGCTACCCAGGAGACAGCTTGGTTATTCCGGTTCTCCAGTGCATCTCTAAGCTTGCATTTTGCAAACCTGCCCGTAGATCCAGCCCCTAACTACTTGTGACGGCACGCTGCGTGAGCCGTCTGCGTGCTTGAGCAGCAGGGTGGGGATTGGGACCCAGCAGCGTGCAGCTTCTCCGTTAAGTCCTTGGCCTCAGTTTGTGTCTTGCACCAGAGAAAGGGGAAGTACTTGCTCAAATTCTCTGTCTGCCACTGCAAATAAGAGCGAGCTTTCTGATTTTCTGACATGTCACGGCCTCCTCTGAGCCCACGGCTGACTCTGTGCCTCCCAGGAAATCCTCTCCTGCTCCCTGTAAGCTTCTTAGGAAGGAGGCAGGGTCTGCAGCTGGCATGTCTGCTAGGAATGGGTGAGCAGCATGCAGGGAGTGTTTGTTTAATGTCAGGCTGTTAGGGGCTGTCTTGCCCTTGCGCGTGATTCCTCTTCCTTCAGAATAAACACACAAGGTTGATTTGCTGCATGGTGGTGTCATGTCCACTGTAAAGGTAATGATAACTGCAGAGCCGAGACCTCTCTGGGAGGACAAAGATGCTCAGCTAAGAGGGTCACTTTTGAGGTCAGACACTGTTTTGTGGCTTTCAATACCTTGTGGAGTTTGAAAACTTCAGTGCAAAGCATGTGTCACATGAGCAAGCTCCCTGGCTTGCCTGACTGTCACGTGGCATTTAATGCCACAACCTTTTTGGTCTCCCACGATGAGCTGTTGTAGGTTCCTTCTTAAACCTACAACCAACCTTTTGGCATCCAGCAAATGCAGGAGGGCAGAGAGCTGAAGGTTGCTGAGTAAATTGAAAGCAGGTCTGAGCTCACGTTCACATGTTCTGGGGATGGGGTAAAAGCAGAACCACAGGTACTATGCATTGCTCTGCAGACATGGACCTGACCTCAGCACTTCCCTCATGCAGTGGAAATAAGGGCTATTGGAAATCGTGCTGCCTTCCTCCTGCGTGGACTCATCGTTTCACCTGGCCTGTAACAAATACAGCAGCTTGTAGGTATGGAGAGAGCCCTATCAAAACCAATTCCCCATGAGAAAGAGGGAGATTCAGCTTCAGTATGGTTGTGTTGGTGCTTGATGTTGCTCATTCAGATCCTATACCCTGGCAGGATGTTACACAGACCTGTGAGGTGCGACCAATTTCCTCTTTCACTTCCTGACCTAATTCCCCACATGCCCCATGATGGGGGTGGCTGTTCGCTTCCTCTTTGGAAATGTTTGAGGAAGGGATTGCTGCACATGTATCTACAAGTACAGGTGAGTAACTGCCTGTGGGGAAGTGTTTAATAGAGGCAACGTGAGAACCTGGACAGATGAAGCAGTGAGGCCCCTCCAGGTTAATACTCAGTCTGGGGTTCTGAGCTGTTAGGCTCTTTTTATTGGAGTCCAATGCAGTGTTTGTTCTCCATGGCATTGCTCTTATGCTTGTCTTTCTTCTCCATGCCTGCAGACAGTTTCCAGGATGTGGGAACATAGTGACATTCTCCCAATTCCTATTTATCGCAGTGGAAGGCTTTATCTTCGAAGCCAACTTTGGGAGGAAGAGGCCGGCCATACCAATAAGGTACAGTCGATCTGAACGCTTTTGCTAGGCACAAATTGACTAGCTATCTATTATCTCAAGAAGTGTTTAATAAAATGGCTTATCCATTTATCCTGTCTAAATCTCATCCCTTCTGCGGCATTTGTGGAGCCACATTGAGAACCTGTCATGCCTGATAAAGTATGAACTCCTCATTTATCGAGAATTCTTAATAGGAAATTGCCATCAGATACTTTCCTGTCCAAGAAACAGGGCAGTATTTTGCACAGTTAAGAGTTTGCTGTGTTTGAAGAGCTTACTGTCTCTCTGGGGCTTGGTGCAATGGGTGTGGGAGGGAGAGGTTTACTGGAAACCCGGCCAAATTCACTTTTGCATTTCTCCATCAGGACTATTCTTGTCCTGGCAATGGCCTGACATGTTCATGCTCTCCTCCGTGGCACTCAGTGGCTAAAGTGAAGTGAGGAGGTTTTATGGGGTTCCTTAGCAGACTGCCTAGCCCATGGCAAAACAGGGTGCTGTGCTGAGTGCTTGGGACAGAGATCCTCATGACAGAAAGTTTTGGGGAAGTCTAGTGCCATTCATGGCCGTGTCACAGCAAGGAACTTCAATTTGTGGAGCCTCTCTAGCTTAGGTGTAGAACCATGGAGGTGTTGAGCCTGGATTTGAATGGTTTCTCCTTCCACTCAGGGTAGCGATGCCTGCTGGCAGAAATGGAATCCCCTCAAATCAAGCCTTGTGTTATGCCACTGTCCTTAGGAAAGAAGGGTCTGGAAGGAAGTCCGTGCTAAAAGATCCCAGCTGGAGTATCCTCAGGTCCCCTTTGCTTCTGGGATTAGCGCAAGCTGAGCCAGTGCAGGTCAGCCTGCTTCCTGCTTCAAGGAGCTCCCTGCTACATCCAGAGTTGATTAATCTCCTTGTTAGTCCTTGTCACAGACACAAGAGCTAGGTGGGCTCCTGCTGGGCTCCAGATCTTTCCTTGCAACCCATAATCTGTTCCCAAGGTGTCTTCCAGCATCCCAGGGAGGTACATGCACAGCTATCATCTGGTTTGTTTTCTCTTTGTGTTTCAGGTACTATTTCATCATGGTGGCCATGTTCTTCACTGTCAGTGTGGTGAATAACTATGCCCTGAACTTAAATATCGCCATGCCACTGCACATGATCTTCAGATCAGTGAGTACTGTCATACCATCCTTTTCCTCCTCATGTGAAATCTCTTCCCATCGTCTCTGTGAGCATTGTCTCTGGTGCCTGTGTTGTGCCACCCTCTCTTTCCCAAAAAAAAGTGCAAATACCGAACCCCAGCTAACTTATGTGGAGAACAGCCTTGCTCTGAAGACTCAGCTGTTGTTCTCACTTTCATGGTGTTGATCATTAAATTTCAACTTAAGGGACAGACAAGGAAACTCAGGCTCAAACAAGCTTCTTATTTCCAAAGGTGATGGGGAAGTAACAATGGCAAAACCAAGCCCAGACTCTGGCTGTTGGCCCTGAATGAACTGAATTGCTGGCCAAAGGGATCCAGCTTTCCCTTCCACCTCACAGCTATACCAAGTGGTTTGTGTCCTAATGTAGGTGTCTTGGTTAAACACGTCCGGTCAAAGAGTGTGGATTTGGCCTAGTTCCACTTGCACTGTTTCTGCATAGGTCTTTGCTTTGGAAAATGCCATTAAAATGCATCTTCGCTTAATTGTAGATGAGTGTCAGGCTAAAACATCTGTTAAAACCAAAGAAGATGGAGCCCCAGCTGTTGGGAATAACAAAGTCTGCTGGGCAGATCTGCTGTTCTCCCACAACATGTCACGGGGTTGAGATACCTGAAGTCAGGGGAGGTTAAAAAGAAGAAAACCAGACAACATTCCAGGAGACCTGTCCCGCATTAACCGTGAGGGATGGTTCTTATCTTGCAGCCAATCTATGGAGCCGTACTCCTGTTCCCAATTGAAAACACAGCGATTTGGCCATGTTCTGGTCTGTAGCACACACTGAGGGTCATGAATAGGCCAAAAAAGGGGGAGGTCCACTGGCCAGAAGATTGTAGTAGCCTGTTTGTCTGGGCATCCTTGTTCCCAAGCCACTCAGCTCAACTTCTCCTCTCCTCCTAGCTGAAGTGAGACCCATAGAATCATAAGTCATTTAGGTTGGAAAGGACCTTTAAGATCATCAAGTCCAGCCATTAAGCCTGCACTGCCAAGTCCACCACTAAACCATGTCCCTAAGCAACACATCTACACGTCTTTTAAATACCTCCAGGGATGGTGACTCCACTGGTGCCCTGGGCAGCCTGATCCAGGGCTTGACAGCCCTTTCAGTGAAGAAATTTTCCCCTGGTGCAACTTGAGGCCATCTTCTCTCATCCCCACCCTGTCAGTCTCCCTGCTCCTGTTCTGGCATTTCTGTTGGTGTTTTGGCATTAGTTGTATTTAGTTTACAGTGTTTCTCTGGGGGAGGGGGGGGGCGCATCCCAGTCCAGGAAATTTGTCATGCTGACCTTCTATTTTGTTTTTCTCCTGTCTCTCTTCTTTCCCAGGGTTCACTCATAGCAAGCATGGCTCTAGGTATCATCATTTTGAAGAAAAGGTAAATCACAAGCCCCTCTCTTATATCATCAGGGAATGCTCTGCCATTGACTTAATCCTGACTGGTATTTAGTGCCCTCCCCTTTCCTGTTAAATATTCTTGTTTTAGTGATGGGGAAACTGGGACACAGAGGTGTGCCTGGACTAGAGGCTGGAATAATTCCCTCTTCTGCATTTCCACTACCCCTCACTCCTTCATTTAAGGCAAGCATGGACTGAAAAGAAAGGTTTTACACATGACTACAGCCTTTACGTTAGCTCTTTTCTTTCCTCTTACTTCTGTGAGACTGGTACCGCTCCTGATGGATGGCTGTACTATGTCTGGCTGGGATGGAGTTAACTTTCTTCATAGCAGCCCATATGGTGTTGTGTTTGGGACTTGTGGCTAACACAGCGTTGATAGCACACTGATGTTTTGGCTACTGCTGAACAGTGCTTACAGGGTGTCAAGGCTCTCTGTTTTTCCCACTCTATCCCCCAGCAAGTAGGCTGGGGGTGGACAAGAAGTTGAGAGGGGATACAGCTGGAACAGCTGACCCAAAATGGCCAAAGGGGTATTCTGTGTCATATAAAATTGTGCGCTGCAGTAGAAACCAGGGTAGGGGAAGTAGGGGGCAGTTGGTTTCTAAGACGGCCATGCTTATGGGAGGTGGTAAGTGATTGCCTTTGCATTGGTTTTGTTGGGTTTTTTCCCCCCTCATCTGTTAAACTCTTTAACTCAACTCACCAGTTTTCTTATTCTTGCTCTTCTAGTTCTCTTCCCCCATCCCACTAGCTTGGGGAATGAGCAAGTGACTGTGTAGGTGCTTGGCTGCTGGCTGAGGTCACCCCACCATGGTGGGCAAAGACCTGGGGGCAGGAGGGCCCTTGCAGCTACTTGGGGTCCGGCTGTTGGACCAGTGTGGGCACATCCCCTTCCACTCCGTCACTATGCAGAGAACTGCTCTGGCTTTGATCTGAGGGGGATCCTTTGCCACAGGCAAGGAGATCTTGGTCCAAATGCTTCTTTCTTGTTGCAGTTGGAGTTAGTTGGCGTTCCCTCCCAGCTATGTCCAGCGTTAGGTAATGGGTATGTCCCCATTACCCCAAGTTCACACTGGTGTAATGGAGCAAAATGCAATGCAAGGGAACAGTAGATGAACAACAAGAGGCTGGGCTGGGTCACTGACATCTCTCTTCTCCCCCATGCAGATACAGCGTATCTAAATACACGTCCATAGCCCTGGTGTCCGTGGGGATCTTTACCTGCACTTTCATGTCTGCAAAGCAAGTGGTAAGGACTGGAAAGGGCCTGAGGTCATAACTGTGAACCTTATTGACAGGTGGAGCTTCTGTCAGCACCTTCATCAGTAATTCCCTTTGCCTGACTATTAGTGGAGAGACAAGGTGTCTCCTAGCTCTAGATCTGCTCCCTGAAAGCTCTTGTTCCTGGTCTCATTTTCCTGTGGTTTGGAGGGAAGAGATGCACACACATGCAGGTGGTTAAACATAATTACAGATGCCTTTTAACCTCTTCAGTTGCTTTTTGTGGAGAATAAACCATTATTTTTTTGCCACAGAGATAACAGCTAGAAGCTGTTTTCTCTTGCCCTTACTGTGATGTGTTCCAGTTAGGAGCAGGTGAATATTAAACAAAACTCAGCCATCTTAAGTCTTTGCTCTTTTTATCCCAGAAGAGATTGTTGGCTTTCAGGCTGGATTTTTCCAGACCTGTTGTCATCCAGTGTGACTTTCTGTGACCCTTGAAATAAAGTGCATGTATTTGGAGAACAGGAGGGAGTGAAGAAAATCCATGTGTAACACCACTTTGGGCTTTTCCTGGGTCAGCACCCACAGCCTGATCTTGTCAGCTGAAGACAGAAAAATGGCATAAAGTGGTGGTCAAGTGAAAATTGGTTTCACTTATTCCAGCTCTGAGAGATTGGAAATGAAACAGGGCTGTCAACCTCCAAGTCCCCCATCGTTTAATAGCTTTTTATACTCTCAGAATATCTGAGGAAGGTCTGTGCTATACAGCCTTGCTCTGTATTAATACAGATAAACTCTCAGCAGGCACGGGGTTTTGGTGTAGTACAGACAGTTGTGGCAAAGGTGAGTAATCTGATTTCCCCTAAACCACAGTGAACGAGAGTTGAGCCAAGTCAGGCTACCTAGAGTTGTACCCTCGGCTAACAGCATCTGCAGGCCTGCTCTCCTCCCTGTCTTGACTACAAGCCAGAGCCCTGGTTTTAGTACCTGACTGGGGCTTGGCCAGAGCCCTTGTTCTTTCCTGCACGCTCACCTCTGAGATGGGGACAGAGGACCCTGCCAATGGGCTGTCTTTGAGAGCTTTCTGAATGGCACTGATTATTTCTGTGGTTGCAGAGTTTGGTCTCTCACCAAGCCAGGGCATTTCTTCCAGAAAAACTACTTTCTTGATCAGACATTTACACTTTTTTTTTGCTGGAATCTAGTGTGTTCTCTGAAGCAGAGTGGAAAGCAAAGTGTGCTATGGTTGCTACCACCTCTGTTCAAGCAGGGAAGCAGCTCTGGAGAACGTGAGACCTTGGGCGGTCTTTGCTTTATAGGCTTGCTTTGTAACACGACAGATGAACCGAGAGTGAGGTGGAGGCAGGTCTGAATGAGCTGCAGGGGCACGGTAGCTCATGGTGACTGTGTTGTGTCTCCTTCCACCAGGCGTCTGACTCCAGCTTAAATGAAGAGGACGGATTCCAGGTTTTCTTGTGGTGGCTGCTAGGTATGTGAGTGCCACATCTCCAGCTGACCTTGCTGGGATACTGGCAAGATTCAGCCCTCTGATGTCCTTGGCCGTATGATTTGTGCAAAGCAGACGGTGGTGGGAGTCCCCGTGCTGAGGTTAAGTTGTGCTGAGTGTCTGGGGGATGTTGATTTGCAAAGAATGGGGTTTTGTGGCACTCGTTAGCAGTGTTGTGCAAGGAGATACTCTTTGTTTATTCAACAAGTTAAATACGGTGCCTAAGGGGTTTCTGCAGGGTAGTGGCTTAGCGGCAGGATGAGACTATAGTCATGCACGTTTGCAGCTGCCACCTTGATTTCTCTTTGCAGAAGCAGCCCTACCTGATAAACCTGATGCTGTGAGAGATGCTGCAGAGAGGGAGTGGGGCTCTAGCTGGTTCAAGTGTTTATTCAGCACAATATTTCATGGAGGAGTCTTTAAAGCCTGGCGCTTAAGTCTGGTTTTATACCTCCAGCCTAGGTCTATTGGTGGCTTTTTGGGGAACCTGGGATTAATGTATTGTCGGTAGTGGCAAATTACTGTATCCTTGGTATCCTGCCAACTCTGCTTGCCAGGGCTGAGTCTCTTTTTAAAAGGTGCTCTTTTCAGAAGTCACTTGGCATCTCAGCCTTTGTAATAAGATACCTGTCCCCAAGACCATTATCAGTTTTCTTATCAAGTCTGGGTGTTTTGGGTTTTTCACTGAAAGCCACATTGTGCGAGTCTTCAGGCTAGTTGACTTGAGCTATGCCACGCTTGAGCAGTATTGCAAGGCTGTGCTTCTGTTCCAGGTATTGCTGCACTCACCTTCGCCCTCCTTATGTCTGCCAGGATGGGGATTTTCCAGGAGACGCTGTACAAGCAGTTTGGGAAGCACTCTAAAGAGGCCCTTTTTTACAATGTAAGTCACCATGTCTTCTCTGTGGCTTTTACTGGGCAGACAGAACTGCTAAGAGTCCCTTCCCCTACCACCCTCTACTCAGCACAAATCCAAAGGGTCACAAACTGCAAGGCTGGAGCAGCGAAGAGTGTGCTGTCATCCGGATGTGTGACGCTGGTTTCCCAGGATGAGAAGTGGGGTGGGTTCACATAACCTGTTAACATCACATCTTTACTTTTCTCTCCAGCACGCGTTACCACTCCCTGGCTTTCTCCTCCTTGCCCCAAACATCTACCACCATGCAGTCCTCTTCAGCCAGTCTGGTAAGTGTTGCACAGACGGATCCTTGCTCTCGTACCTTTCTGTCCTCTGGAAAATGCTGTAGGAAGCTTTCAGTCTAGCAGTTGTACATATCAGGCTGTCGTCTTGGGATATTCAAGCCCTTTGAATTTTCAGGTTTGATGGAAATCCAAAAGCAAAAATAAACCCCACGCTGTCTTGAGGGCATTGTCCAACTTTTTCCCCACGAAGGGGCAGGTGCCAGCACGCTGGGACAAGTGGTGATTGCTGACTGCTGACAGCCTGGCCACGGGCAGCTGACCCTTCAGCTGGTGCCACGGCGGCTTGCAAAGCTAAGCCCTGAATTACTGTTTGGATCACTGTGATTAAAGCCCAGGCTTCTCACTAGTGCACATGCAGGCACCCTTTGGGCCCAGCCAGATTGCTCATCCTTCCACCTTGAGTTATCCATCTGCTGAAGTTTAATGGTAAAATTCACCAGATTTGTCAGTGCCAGCAAGCTTCCTATATCCCCGATCTTGTGAAACTGCAGGGATCTTTGCTGAATAGGTTTGCTGGTTCTCTAATCCTCTGTGAGTGGGGGGATTGTTTGCATGTGTAGATCACTTTAATCTGTTCGTTAATATCATTGCAAAATATTTCTAGTATGCTACACCTGTCTCAGGGAAAGCATGAAGTGAGCCCTGGGAAAGGAACCTGGTGGTTCAAAAATGGGAGTAACGGGACCAAATGCTCAAGCACAGGTGTAAGCGCGGACCCGTTGGCTTTTGTTTTGCTGGTGCTACGCAGGCTTTGCCGTGCTAACGCTGTCCCCCTCTGAGCCACACAGTTGGTTCATCCAGTTTTAACAGTAGGACAGCCCTGACACAAGAAAGCAAGACAGAGCTTTTCCTTTAATGTCTTCTTCCTTAGCCTACTTTTTCCTCCATCTTTCTTTCTTCCCTACGGAAGGCCAAGCAGAAACACCTGCAAACTCTCTTGTATTTGTAATTTACCACAGTAAGAGCAAGATAACTCTCCATTTGGAGCAAAATCAAAATGGCCCCACACCTCAGTCTGCTTAGTGCAGCAACGGCCTCCTGAAGCTGCAGCATGTCCGAGATCATGATCAGTCCTGGACAGGAGAGAGACACCTCTCTTTCCATCTTTCTTAAGCAGTAGTAGGGCAGTGACCTTGCTCCATCCTTTCTCTCTGCAGAACCGTTCCAGGTCCCGGTGATCGGGCTGACCCTGCCAATCATGTGGTTCTACCTCCTCATGAACGTCATCACTCAGTATCCTTTCAAAGCTCAGCCTGAGACATGTCGCAGAGATGGCAGCAGGGTGGGAGAGGAGGAATGGGGTGGGGGTGCCACGTCCTTGGAGCCTTCCCTGCATTTGGGAGCTGATGTTCGTATAACTCTTGGAAAATACAGAGTGAAATTTAACCTGGGACTTAAGATTTATTTTTTTTTCCCCCAGAGTGGCTGAACCACCTAGTGACCACCTCTTGGAAAATACAGAGTAGAATTTAACCTGGGGCTTATGTTATTTCCAGGGTGGCTGAAATCTGCCACCACCTCCCCAGGGACAGGCTGATTGCTGTAAACTCACGGCGGTTTTGCTTGTCAGCTCTAAGTAGAAGGGACAGATCAGGAGCTATTTGTAATACTTCAGTGTGTGGCGTCTTCCAGGCAGCTCGGACAGCTCGGAAAGTCTGAAGAAGCCGAGATGCCCTCAAAAAAGAGCCCCTTCAGTCCAAGGCCCTTTTACCATTTTTCTCTCACTATTCAGAGAAGACTGTGCTCTATTGCTGCTCACCCTCTTCCATGAAACCCCCTCATTTAATCTGCCTTTCCCGTGCCCCCTGGGGGTGGGGAAGGGGTCTTCTGGAGGGTATAAATGGAGAAGTCTGATTTTAGCTTCCCTTGGCTCCATGGCAGAGACCGTAAACGCTGCGTGCTGTTAACCGTTCGCCAAAATGTTGGCCCTGGCTGCTGTAGTGGGGTAGTTTTGCTGTCCCAGAGCAGGGTCGGGGGGACTCTGGGAGATCTGGGGTGTCCCTGGGGTTTGTTGTGAAGCTGCTTATAGCTGTAGCAATGCTGATCTGAGGAAACGGGAATTTTATTCCCTGTATAACCAGACTGGGGCTATCCACTGCCCAATCCTTTTCATTCCCAGAGGTCTGCCCCCAGGTGTCTTCCCTCTTCAGCCCCTATGTCCCCTTACCTCTGCCCACCCAGATACGTCTGCATCCGAGGCGTCTTCATCCTCACCACGGAGTGTACCTCCCTCACCGTCACGCTGGTGGTGACGCTCCGCAAGTTCGTCAGCCTCATCTTCTCCATCCTCTACTTTCGCAACCCCTTCACGGCCTGGCACTGGCTGGGCACCGCCTTCGTCTTCGTGGGGACTCTCATGTACACAGAGGTGTGGAACAGCCTCGGGCCCTTCCTGGCTCGCTGGAGGAAGAGGCCGAAGGAGGAGTGACGGCCAGGGACTCTCTGCAGGGACCTTTTTATTGTTTTACAGAGCAGAGCAGCAGGGAATCCCCCAGAGGGGGGTTGTTTTTATAACACGGGGAGGTGTTGGCTGTGCCAAGCTCCTGGGAAACGTGGAGCCTCCTCTGGGAACCTACCTGAAATGGATCATGGAGAGACGATACGGTTATTTTTGTAAGGTTGCATTTTTTTTATGCAACCCCTTTTGCTTCCAACCACTCCCCCTGTATTTTTTTTTTTGGTTTGTTTGAATAATCCTTTTTAAGTAATGTAAAAGCTGACCTAGTTCTCTGTTAGGAGCCCAACCTTGTTGTGGTGCTGTTGTCCACTCCTCCCGGCTTTGATAAGCTGGACCCTGAGCCTGTTTGGTGCCATCCTTTAATGTCCAGGTGGCCGTAGGGTATGGCTGGGCCCCTGGGGAACAGCTGTTTGTGCAGCAGGTTGTTAGTTACACTGGAAATGCCAGGCCTGGCTGTTAACCTGATCCAGCACCTGTGCTGGGAGGGTGTCAGATACACCTGTAGCTAGAGCCTACCAGTCTGCCCAGTAGATCCTCCAGTAGGGAATGCCTCAGGGGGCTGGTTCCCGAGCCACTGAGCCCCCATCGCTTGTAGCAGAGCCCAGTTGGGAGCCTGACGAAACCAAAACGGGGTGATGCTAAGGGGACAGAAAGGGCTGCTGTGTCACCTTCGCAGCCTTCTTGGGGAGACGGTGAAGTGCTGTTGAGGCTTAGCTGAGTCCTTCTCAGACACTGCGCTGATACTTCATCAGCGGAGGGTGGTGTGGGTTAGATCCTCAGTGCAGGTCTCTTTTCAGTCGCTTCCTACTTTTTCCATCATCAGACACGTGGTCAGCAGGCTTCGTTACCAGCAGTCAGCTGCAACGAACTGTGCTGAGCCCCCGGTACACCTGCGGTCCCCCCGGATCCAGCCCAACCTCAGGGTTCAAATGATGCCGAGAAATTTAAGAAAGGCCAGTATAGCTGACCTTATTTCTGCTGCTGGGGGGGCGTCTGATTTCACTGTCCCTTCACCCAGACCTCTTCTCCCACCCCTTGGGCGTCACCTTTGCTCGTGGCATTTCTGTGCATCCTAGCGGCATCCACAGTGGTGCGCAGGACCGATGTCCCTTAGTGTCACCCCTCACTTGGGGCAGGAGTGGCCTCCAGGAGCTGTGGGTGTGTGTCCCCATGCATGCAGGCAATGCGCGTCTCCCAGCAAGGTGAGGAGCAGCAGCCCCGGCTCTTCTAGGAGCCGATTGGGGTTAGGCAGATCAAGGGTTAGCGCCCGGCCTTATCTCTGTCTCAGAGCAGCAGGGAGCACTGTTTTGTGCTGCCTCAGTTTTCCTGAAGCACCTTGTTTACATCATCCTGATACTGTCCCCGCTCAGCCGTGATAATTAGGGCATCCAGCAATGTCAACCTGATTCACATCAAGCTTGGCCAAGTAAGCACTGTCCTCCGTTATTCCTCCACCCAATGCCCCGATGATGTTTTCCAGCCTTGATGTTTACAACCTCTCCAATGTAAAACCTGCGCTTGTGGTGGGTTAACCCTGGCCGGTCATGAAGCACCACACGGCTGCTCGCTCGCTGTCCCCCACAGTGGCAGTGGGTAGGGGAGAACAGGAAGAGCAAACCCAAGAAAATGTGTGAGTAGAGATAAAGATGGTTTAGTAGCAAAGAAAAGAGGAAGGGGGAAAAAAACCCCAAGTGATGCAAGGGCAACCACCCACTCACTGTGCCCAGCCAGTCCCTGAGCAATGGCCACCTTCCCAAAACCACTTTCCCCTCCATTTTTATTGCCAATTTTTATCTGCGTCAGTTGGCCTGGTTGTCCCCCTTCCCAGCTTCTTGCCCACCTGTGGCCTAATCACTGGTGGAGGGCAGAGTGAGGGGAAAAAAAGGGAAAGGCTTGATGCTGTGGAAGCGCTGAAGCAGTGGTGGGTTGTCAACACTGGTTTAGCCGCAAATCCAAAGCCCAGCACTGTGCGGGCCGCTATGGAAAAGGTTAAATCGGAGCCGGAGCCAGAGCCAGTACGATGCTGACGGGACCTGCAGCTTGCTCCTTCCTGAGACGCTGAAGAGTTTTCCCTTCTGGTTTTGATTTTTCCAGAGCCTGAAAAAGCTCTCCTATTTTCAGTGTCAAACGTGGGATATTTCCAAGGATTTTGCAGATGATGAGGCTGTTTCCCAACGGCTGCCCCAGCCCCTAACGCAGGTGAGCTCTCACTTCCACCTGTTTGCGCAGGCTCCAAGAAGGACCCAGCAAGAGGCAAAACCGTTATCCCTCATCTTCGTCTTCAAAGCTATTTGCACGGAGCTTCAGCCGAGACAGGGAGGTAGGGAAGGCCACAAAAATTCAGTGTGAAAGCGTCAGGGACACTGAGCGACTGGTGGGGTTCAGCAAAGCTTAAGCCGCACCGGTGTTAACGCCGGGCTGAGGGCAGCGGCCGCCTTCAGGGTTGGGCAGGAGGAGCTGTAACTCCTGGTAGGCGGCCGTGGCGGTGGTTGCTGTCGCCTGGGCTGGGGCTTTAGCAAAGCAATATCGGAGCAGGTGCCCGAGTGGGTGTAACATACTGTACATAGACTACTCCCTGGGTTGCTCTTCGTATCAAGGAAATTGCATGTTGTCTCCAATTTCTGTGTGATGCTGGTAGGGTTGGGGATGTCTGGGTTTCTCTTTTTTTAACTGCGTGCTGTACTTGGTCTTCACTCGAACCAAGTGTCAACGATGGGTTATTATTTGTTGTTGTCAGGGGTATTTTTTTAACTTTACAGTGTGATCTGTGTCTTTCTGAATATTTATAATTGTTATAACGTCGCAGAAGTGGCAGCGATTCCCTTCCTGCTGTAAGAGAGCAGTGAGCTTGCCCAGTTGTGAGATGGAGGAAAGGTCCATGCAGAAGGGTCCTGTTAGCCAAAACTAGTATTTGAATCCAGGGCTCCCCCCCAAAAAACAGGGCCACTGATTTGTTTGGTTTTAATGTTTGCTGTAGAGATAATAGCACTTATTTTTGAGCAGAGGCTGGAAAAGTGGGTGAGCCAAAATACTTTTTGATCAGTGTTCTGGATTGGCAGAGCTCTTGGGTTGGCTGCTTGGGTTTAGGGTGTTTTTGTTGTTTTTATAAAAACAAAATAAATAGATATCCTCTTCAAAGTACGTTGGTCTCCTTGTTTCTCCTTTCAGTCTTTGCTACTGGTCGTCAGCTGCTGGTGATAGGAAAATTAACGGAGCTCTGAAATCAACACACAATTTCTCCTGCCTTTAATATGAGAGAAGGTAGGAAAGACTGGGCCTTGCTGGGCTTTGAGGGAAAGACCCAGCCACGTCTGCCTCTGCTGAAACCCCTAGCAGCCCTCACCCCCCACCCTGGCCGTCGTAGCCAAACCCCCCTGCCCCCCAGCCGTGCCCTCCAGGCCTCGGCCATACAGCCGAGCAACGCCAGGCTCTCCTACCCAAAACCCACGTGCCCGGCTGCTCTGCTCCAGCCCGACGTTACCATCCTCTGGTTACTGCCACCAGGTGAGAAGCTGCTTTCCTCCCCTCTCCTCTTCCTCCTTCGTAGCGGCTGAGGGTGAACGCATGGTGCAAACGCAGCTAGACCCAGTAATGAGCGGCAGGCCTGCGGTGCCAGCAGACTGACGCGGAGGGCTGTTGCCCCTCTCTGCAGGGCTAAGCCAGGACCACCCGCCTTGTCCAGCCCTTGCAGCTGTGGTTCCTACTAAAGGGGTATTGAACTAAGATCGGGGGGGATGCAGGAGGGGTAGGAAGGCAAGAGAAGCCAAGGGTGGCCTGGGGGAGGCTCCTCTTTAATTGCACTTACCGTTAATTAGATCCATTAACTTGCTGCAGACGGTCTCTTAATTGCACCCAGGTGGGTGAGTTGGGCAGCCGAGGTCCCTGGCAGCACCCGCAGGGGTTGGGGGACGTGGCTCGGGGCAGCAGTTTGAGCCTGCAGTGGTTGGTACTGAGGAACCCATCGGGATTTGAGGTCCCCAAGCAAGACTCAACAGTTGGTTTAGGCTCCCGGTTTCTGGGAATCCCATCCATGCAGCACAGAGCGCTTGGGTGTTATCCCAGGAGAGCTCAAAATTGGGAATGAAGCCTCCTGGCATCAGTGCTTAACCATTAACTCGGAGCTGAGTGGTCCAGCTTCCCACACGGGACCTGGTTTAAAAAAAGAAACAAATACAGCAAGAAATTAAGTGATTACCGCGGTCTTTCCAGACCCTGGTGAAGTCTCCATCACTCTATAAACAGTGACGCGGTGGTAAAATCCTGGCCATCGCTTGACGTTTAACACACCTTTAAACTTTCCCCATCTCAGAGCTGTAATGAGCACACTTATTTCTCCAGCAGTTACCAAGTATATATATTTCTAATTTAACAAATCGTCTTTCCCCAGACCCTGGCAGCCGTTCGTTTAATAAATCCTCATCGGCCAGGCTCCGCTTTCATCAGCTCAGAGATTTCTGTTCAAAAATCTTTTGCCTTTCATTAAATCTGGGCTGGTGTTTATTAATGCTTTCAATCTTTCCTCGGCACGTCGCAGCCCGGCTCGCCACAGTGGGTCGGAGAGAAACAAGGGATATTTTTTTTTTCCATTAAAGTGAGAGGGAAAGCCTTGAACCCCTTTGGGAAAGACGATGAAATCCTTGTCACTTCCAAGGTGTAAAAAAACTTGCTCCTGCCACTAAATTAAATGAGAGGGGCAGGAGAGGGATAAAGATGTCTCTGTAAATCACTTGGAGCCACACAGTTCATTTCTGTTCAGCGTCTTTCATTATAGCAGTCATAAATCAGCAGCTGGAGCCCAAGAGGGCAAGAAGGTGAGATTTATTGACGGGGGAAATTTGGGAGGGGAAGAGCTCAGAGGATAGAAAACTATTTTTTTTTTTTTTTTTGTGTCACACGGGGCCCAGGAAAAAAAAACTGGCACCCTTCCTTCTTTGAAAGCTCTCCAAAGTTTGCTGGAAATTTTTAGTATT